ATCTAACAGATAAAACACAGCAAAAATCCCAATTATTGAAAAGGTTTTTGTTTACAATATACATCAGTACTACTCTAAGACTACAATCTCCAATTTGTAGCACTCGTTTTGAGCTAATGAATGAAGATTTGATATTTGATTTTAAAATTTGTGAGACTCTTTTTCAAAAAAACCAAACAATGTGAGACTGATTTCTAATTTGATAAGAAGGGTTTTCTATGTTTTCAAATTATAGTTTACTCGATTGTAGTATAAGATATATATTCGCAACAAAAATAAAAAATGAAGCAAATCCGCGCGTATGCACGGGTATTCACTAGTTTAAGTTTGATTTAGGTATTTTTTCTGCACCCTTGCAGTACCTCAATTATTAATCATTGATCGAATCTCTAATAGAGGCAATGAAAGGTTTAATAAAAGCATATATATATGCATGTTTCAAGAATCCAAATTAACTAAAATCTCAACAAAAGAAAGTGAAGAAAGTATATACTTTCTTCTCGTTAAGTATATCATGCACTTTAATTTAAAAAGTACTTATTTTCTTCTCGTTAAAGACTTTAACGATCTATCTACTACTGAAAGTAGTATTATTAGCAGAGATGCTGGAGGATCACTCTTTTAGTAAAGTTTGGAAAACTCCTCGGTCAAATCTTCATGATAATAGAGAAGATCCAAGACCTATACAAGATATATAACAACTCAATCAAATCAAGCAAAAAAAACACAAGTGCAAATGCAATAAAAAATAACCCATCAAGAACCTTACCTCCTCTTGCATCTTCGCTAGCGACTTCTTCCCAACTTTATACATTTTCAGTTTCCAGAGAACTGAAACATACACATAAGTATCCACGGTCGCAAATCTTGTCTGCATATAGATCAATTCGTTATATAAGTCACAAATTTAGCAAAGAAGGTAATATCTATCAAAAAACGGTATTTTCCCTAGGATAAGTTTTATGAGTTTATATAGCATTCTGTACCTTAACATTGTTCAGAAAGTAATGTTCATGAGGCTCAAGAAGTTCTCTTCCAGCTTGCTCAACCTCGCGAGGGACGGTTATCTTAGCCTCCATAATGAGGACACGTAAACCAAGAAGTAGCCTTGGGTGCTCTTCCATGAGTTGAGTCATCATTGCAATGGTACCAGCTTCATTGATTCTACAAAATAGAATCATCAATTCACATTGAGTTTTGTTAAATAGATGTAGCCTAATGGGAGTTGAAAGTAAAAGCAAAGTAAGGAGAGGATAATTAATTCATACCTATTAGCGATAGCAAACACCATGATCTTCAAAAACTCATCAAATTTTTCATGTTGATCACGAAATGCTTCAAATACAGAAGCGACGTACAAAAGTGGCGTATTCATAGTTGACTCCGGTTTGAAATTGGCCTAACCATTTTGTTAATTATCCAAAGAAAAACAAAAATATTAGTTCATTCAAGCTGATCAAATCATCATTGGATCCCTCTCATATCTTAATGCCATTTATCACTAATTTAAAAGAGATGACTTTTGAAACAGAAACCCTAGAGTAATGATATATTCATCTCATTATTCCTCAAGAAACCACAAGTAATATTCAGTGAAATCATGCATTGAACATGAAAAATCAAGATTACATGCATTATTCTACAAGTAATATAAGAAAACCAGTTCAACCGAAAAAAAAAACCAGCCGTTGGATTTGAAACCTCAATGTCATTCTCAATGATAAACAACATAAATGCGTATTAACGATTCACTTAAAATTTCATCTTCTCGACTAAAAATTTGTGTAAATTTAATCAATCAACATCTTTATAACCCCGAAATCAATCACGATAAAGAAAAATAAACAACAAAGAAGGCTGAGCAAGAAACTATAGAAAATAATCAAAGGAGACATCGAGAGCAACAAACCAGAGAATTCAATCTCTAACCTAGTCGTCAGATCATCTTTAACCAAAAATGATAATTATAAAGAAGAAGATGGTCGTATAGTTCGAACTAGCATGACAACTCGATCTCTAACCGTTCATATTTCACATGGACGAAAAAAATATAATACCGAAGAAAAATATATGGTCGAATAGTTACCGAACGAACAAGAAATCGACTTCAAGATTTCCAGAAACAAAACAATAGAGTCTGATTTGTGTTACTCGCAAGTGTATCTATAATACGGAATATCAAATTTATTTTATTTGCATTTCATTTTTAGGTTTTTTAAAATTATGGATTAGACACTTATCTTGGTCACTGTCTTCATTACTTTGGTCAAATCTTTAGAACATGAATTTAACAGCTTTCTATATACTAATCAAAGATGAAGAGAACAATAATTTGTCAAATTAAGAAGTATATTTTACAGCAATTTTTAGTACCAACTAATTGAGAAAATTAATTGACTAATTTTTAAATATATATTTATTTAATTTTCTTAAAATCTGTTATATTTGTATCTCAAAAATTAATTATGATCTATAGCAATCCGTTTTCGATGTAGCCTTTTTTAAAATGAAAATTTAGTTATTTAGTTGGACTAGGTTGTTTTAATTTTATTATGCATTTTGGTGTATTAGAAATTTAGAATATTGAGTCCAATAGTTTATCTTACTTAGTTAAGTTATTAGGTATATA